TTAGGATAAAATTTTAATTTTAATTATCTGATTCACTTAAATTTTTTGTTGCTATGTTTGTTGTTATCTCTAATTCTACTTAGAGGGATTTATTGAGTTTTTTATTGTAATTTAATCTATGGTCCTTTTTAAAAAAGGTACGCGTGCCTGGCCAGTGTGGCTCAGTGGACTGAGCCTTGTCCCATGGACTGAGAGGTTTCAGTTCGATTCCCAGTCAGGGCATATGCCCTGGTTGTGGGCTCGATCCCCAGTAGGGGGCGTGCAGGAGGCAGTCAATTGATGTTTCTCACATCGCTGTTTCTCTCTTTCTAAAAAAAAAACCAATAAAAACATATTTGAAAAGGTACACGTGACTATTTGGAGAGAATGTATGTTTTCAACATGTAGCATATCATCTTTGATGATTGCGGAAGCCAATGTTTTTAGTGTTAATATTTAGGCCATATATAAAAAAACAATATTTGCTTACTTTATCTGTCACAAATTTACAGTGGTATTTTAATATCTTCTATCCCAGTGGTGGCTGCCACACACAGTGACCACACTGTAACTTCGGACTCATGTTATTCCATAAATCCCTACTTTATTCCACTTCATGCCTCTCATCTGAAATTCGCTTTCCTGCCCCTGTGACTCTTGCTTTTCCTGATTCGGTTATCTGCATGTGCCTGATCCTGATGGATTTTCGTCTCTTTCTTACTGTTATCTCCTCTGGCTGTTTTTAAGGATTCGGGTGTCCCCGAAAAGTAGTCCTAGGCCGTCACACCCAGCGCCAGGACAGCGGCGAGGGTCCGCACCACCTGGAGAGGCGCCGGCACTGCACGGCCTGCGAGGACCGTGATTTGTGAGTCCCCTGCCTTGACGCCAGGAGCCATGACCACAGCATGGAGAAAGCAGGTCTCGGCTTAGATGGGGAGAGCGACCCCCAGCAGGCTGCGGCCCCCCAGAGCCCAGGAGCCTCTCACAGGCCGACCCTCCAGAGCTGCATCCAGGCCCTGGTCCATGTCGGCCATTGCCAGAATGCCGATTGCCCCCTGTCCTCTTGCCAGAAGATAAAACGGATTGTGCAGCACACCAAAGGGTGCAGAAAGAAAACCAATGGCGGGTGCTCCATCTGCAAGCAGATGGTTGCCCTCTGCTGCTGCCACGCCATCCGCTGCCGGGAGAACAGGTGCCCCGTGCCCTTCTGTCTGCTCATCAGGCGCGCGCTGCGGCGGCGGCAGCTGCAGCACCGGCTCCAGATGCTCCGCAGGAGGATGGCCAGCATGCAGGGAGCTGGTGTGGGGGCGCCGCAGCAGGACCCGCCCTCGCCCACACCCCCTCAGGCTGCTCAGCCACCCCTTCCGGGGGCCCCGCCTGCAGCAGCGGAAGTGGCAAGGCAGATCCAGAGGGCTGCTGAGACGCAGCACTACATGACCCACGCGCAGCACCAGACGCCCCAGGTGACCCCCAGGGCTCCCATGGGTATGAACCCACCTCCCATGGCAAGAGGTCCCAGTGGGCATTTGGAGCCAGGGATGGGGCCCACTGGGATGCAGCAACAGCCACCGTGGGCCCAACGAGGGTTGCCTCAGCCCCAACAACTACAGTCCGGGATGCTCAGGCCCGCTGGGATGCCAGTGGCCCAGCCTGGTCAGCCCTTGACCATGGCTCCTCAGACAGGATTGGGCCAGGTAGGTGTGAGCCCTCTGCAACCAGGCATTGTGTCTCGACAAGCCTTAGGAAACCGTGTGCAGACTCTCTGGTCTCCTCGCTCTTCCCTCCAACAGCAGCAGGTACTTCGCGTCCTTCACACCGACCCCCAGCTGTTGGCTGCATTCATCAAGCCCCAGGCTGCCCAGTACCTCGACTCTAATCCGCACCACCTCCCTGGGTACCCTGGCATACCCCAGAGCCAGTCAGGGCTGCAGCCCCCTGCCGTGCCCGGTCAGCAGGGGGTCCACTCCAATGCAGCCATGCAGGTGGGTGTCCAGAGGGCTGGCCTGCCCCAGCAGCATCCACAAGGGAATGTGTATCCTAACACCACGTGTTCACAGCTCCAAGACATCTGGAGAGGACAGCAGAGGGTGCAGCAGCAGCAGGGGGCAGGACCAGGAATCAGCCTCAGGATGGCCGATCACAACCAGTTCCAGCGACCCTAAGGAGCTGCCTACTCGCAGCAGCAGCAGCAGCAGCGGCAGCAGCGAGCGCAGCATCACACGCAACAGATGCAACAGGGAAACGGGACAGGTGGGCCAGCTCCCTCACCTTGGCAGCAGAGTCAAGAGCCAGTCTGCAGGCCTATCAACAGTGACTCCTTCAGCAACAGATGGGGTCCCCTGCTCAGCCCAACCCATGAGCCCCCCACAGTATATGCTTCCAAATCCGGCTCAGTCCCCACACCTACAAGCCCAGCAGATCCCTTCTTCTCTCTCCAATCCAGTGCGTTCTCCCCAGCCTGTCCCTTCTCCACAGCCGCAGTCTAAGCCCCCAACTCCAGCCCTTCCCCAGGGATGCAACCTCAGCCTTCTCCACACCACGTTTCCCCACAAACCAGTTCTCCACATCCGGGACTGGTAGCTGCCCAGGCCAACCCCATAGAACAAGGGCATTTTGCCAGCCTAGAGCAGAATTGGACGCTTTCTCGGCTCACTAGCAATCTGGGAACAGCAAACCTTCGTGGTGCAAGCCCCGCAGGTCGGGGTCTCAGCGCCAGCAACTCAGACCTGAACTCAAACCTCTCACCGAGTACACTGTGAGAGTACTCTACTACATATACTAGAGATGCCTTGTAGTAGTCTGGGAGCAAAACAATTGCTTCCTCTTAACAAGAACGTTGGAAATAATTTTTTTGAATCTTTCATAGCCTAAAAGACAATTTTGCAACTGTGCAGTGGCTGCTTGTGGTTGAAAGCAAACATGCAAGATAAAACTGAGGGATGACAGAATACATATGTTTTTGTCAGGGTTGGTCACCACCAGCCTTGTTCCCCCCTTGTGTGTGCGGTTCAAGTGCGCACTGGGAGGAGGCTGAGGTCTGTGAAGCCACCGACATGCTCCTCCTGCCTTGCACCTCAGATAGGTTTTATTATTTTTTATATTATTTTTCAGTCCTCGCAGTCAGCTTTGTCTTTTCACGTGTCCATTGCATTGTTACATTTTACTGTTTTGTTTGTTGCTCCAACCCTGTACTGCGGGGCGCTCCCTCTTATTTTACCCTTGCCCTTTTTTATCCTGTTTTTTTAGAGTTTATTTTGCTTTGCAGTTCGTTTCATAGATTATACATTTTTTAGCTTCTATTTTATGCAGTGTTTCATAAGGGTACACCTTGTTTTTATGTCTACTGGAAGTTCCTTTTAAGTTTTTCAGAAATGTTCTTGAATTTTTGTTACTCTAATTAACAAAATTTTTTTATTTTTTTATTTTTTTTCGTTTGTGTGGTTTTTTTCTTTTTCTCTTTTTAATGTGGTCTTTCGACTTTCTGTTTTAGCTTCTTCAGCTTTAAAGTAGAAGTGATTAAGGTTGATGAAATAAAATGTATATTGTTGGTTTAGTCTATTAAATTATACAACATTAGCCTCCAATGTAACTAGAATTATTATTACTGCAGTGCACTGTGACAGGGACATATTTGATACCTGTTCTGTGTCCCTGTCCTGTTCTAACTGCTATGAAGCCTCAATGTCAGAGAAGTAAGGATTCTTTTTTTTAGAAAACATCTCTTTTATTGTTATTTTCTCATTATACTGTTTTTAATTAAATTTGTTGGCTAATAAAATCATATATGTTTCCGGTCTACAATTCTATCATATATCATTTGTATATTGCATCGGATGTTTACACCCAAAGTCAAATCTTCTTTTGTCACCATGTAGTTATCCCACCGCACCCCCTTTTCCTCTGGTAACCACTATACTGTTGTCCCTGTCTATGGGGTTTTCTTGTTTTGTTTTTGCTCTTCTTATTTGTTCATTTGTTGGGGATCCATCTGGGGCAAGGGCACCCCAGTAGCTAAGGGCCTTTTTTCATCTCTCAGAGGCTGGTGGTCCAGTGGGCTCTATTCCCTGGAGACCATGTGGGCCATAAGTTCAACCACCTTGTTGCTGTAGCCAAATACATTGGCAGAATCCCATACATTTTCCTTTCCCATCCCCTTTACTTAAGGTCTCTTCTCCCGTGGCCCAGCTGATTCACACACATAATTAACAGGCTCAATGGTTGAGCATCGACCCATGCACCAAGAGGTTTGCAGTCCGATCCCTGGTCAGGGCACATGCCCAGGTTGTGGGCCTGATCCCCAGAGGGGGACATGCAAGAGGCTACCGGTGGATGTTCTCTCTCTTCGATGCCCCCCCACACACACACACACTCTATCTGAACAAAATATCAAAAAAATGTCCTCGGGTAATGATAAAAAAAAAAAAACCCTGCTGGGGGTTGTGATGAATTCAAATCTTGCCTACATTTCAGATTTACTAAAATTATTAGGTCAAAAGTGATGAATAACTCTCTCAATTAATCTTCCTTCCATAAAAATTGCAGCAATTCACGGTTCCAGTGGTGAAGACTGCAGTTCTCACTGCAGCTTTACCAGCATCGAGGTTTTCATGTTTTGCATTTTGCTTGTAGGCTTTTGATAGTTTTTTGTTTTTTTTTAATCCTCACCGGAGGACATTTTTGCATTTATCTTCAGATAGAGCGGGAGGGGGGGGGGAAGAGAACGAGAGAAACATGGATGTAAGAGAGACACATCCACTAGTTGCCACCCACACGACCCCAAATGCGGCCGGGGACAAACCGCAACCGAGGTAGGTGCCCGTGGCGGGAACCGAACCTCTCTGGTCCGCGGGCCGAGGCTCTAACCACTGAGCCCCCGGACAGGGCATATTTATTGCTCAATTACAATAATGTTGACATTTTAATATGACATTGAGAAATGGTAAAATCAAATACGGCTAAAGTCATGGGTGTCTTGATTTCTGTTCAGGGCATAGGGATGAAGAGGTGAACGTTTAGAGAGATTAGAAATTATTTTTCATAGTTTCATATATCCATTGGCTGTACTTGCATACACCGGTGTAGATGATTGGGTAGAAAGGTGGTACACAAGGGAAATACCCAGAGGACACCAGGCCTTGCAGGGCGTCTTTGCACATCAATGGACTCCCTGAGTCACCCTGGAGGGGAAAAAGCAGGTTAGCTTTGGCTTCAGAGCAAAAGCACTGAGGTCTACACCCTTTGGTTATCAAGTCTTTATTCTGCCAGACCACTCCCTGGCCAATGGGAAGACTCATTGTCTCTGTGGACCAATGAAAGAGCAGGAATTAATATTATGGACAGGACAAACAAACCAGGCTTTTTGAAGACATTGGCTTGAGCTCCAACCAATCACAGAAAGGGGGAGGAGCTTTCAGAAAGAGCCCAGTTTATTTTCCAACATAAAGGACGCTTTGCTCCAGGCCAGTGTGGCTCAATTCCCAGTCAGGGCACATGCCAGGTTGTAGGGAGCATGCAGGAGGCGGCCAATCGATGTTCTCTCTCATAGATGTTTCTATCTCTCTCTCCCTCTCTCTCTAAAAATCAATAAAGAAAAAAATTTTTAAAGGACGCTTTGCCGCCCTGGCCGGTTTGGCTCAGCGGTTAGAGCGTCCGCCTGCGGTCCGGAGAGACCTGGGTTCGGTTCCCGCTAAGGGCACGTACCTCGGTTGCAGTTTGTCCCCGGCCCTGGTTGGTCGTGCAGGTGGCAGCCACTCGATGTGTCCCTTTCACATCGATGTTTCCCTCTCTCTCTCTTCCTCTCTCTCCCTCCCACTCTGTCTGTACAAAAAATGGAAAAATGTCCTCGAATGAGGATAAAAAAAAAAAAAAATCAAAAAAAAAAAGGACGCTTTGCCAAGCCACTGGGAGAAATTGCATTATCTCCAGGGAATCAATACATTTTCTTACTCAGAGATGTGGGCCAGGGTTGTCCTGGGAATCGGGTACAGGATTAATGACCCAATTCAAAGGGTTCAGTGCAAATGAAAATGGGACCACCAACTTCAAATATATGAATTTTAAAACAGCAAGAGAAATACTTGAAAACTATTGGGATACGTGTCTAGTGTGGGGCTCCGTGCCCCTGCACAGCTTGCACATTCATGAATCAGGCCCTCGCGGGGAGACAGGGGGAAAACCCCTTTCGTTAGGATACACAACCCTGTCCCATCACCCATGTCCCCAAGATGCACCATCTCTCTGACCCTGAAAAGCGGAGGGTGAAGCATTGAGAATGGGAATACGAAGAGGCAAACAGTCATAGAGAAAGAGAGAGTTAGAAGGATGGAGAGAAGCAAGGAAGGGAAGAAGGGAACAGAGAAGCTGAAATATTGGGGGTAAAGTAAGAGGCAGAGAAGGAGAAAGCAAAAAGAGTAACTGAGGCAGAACACACACATACAGAGAAAGAGAGAGAGAGTCCAACAGAGAGAATACAGAGAAAAACAAGAAAATGAATAAAATGAGGTGTAAAGACAGACGAGGGAAGATGTTTCTCAGAGACAAGAGAGGGCTACAGAGATGAGAAAGGGGGAACAGAGAGGAGGAGAGACTTTTTCCCCCAGAACCAGGACCGGATACAAAGGTATATAAGCAGGACATTAGCCTCAGACACAACATCTCAGTGATTACCATGAGTATTTTAATGCAATACCTTAAAAATAAAATTTGCTCAGAAAAACAATTCATGAACAGCAGGGTATTTTAATTTTAGACAAAGTCGGGGTCATCATCGTGTTTTGAGGGACCATGAGGAGCCACGAGGCAAACAGAAAGTCCAGTCAAAACTGACTGCTGCTTATTGAAAATTCGATTTGGTTCACATGGATATATTTGCCTAGATTGTTTTTAAAATATCGCGTTAGAATATATTTTATCTTGCTCACCGAGCTCTCGGTGTCCCCTTAAAATGGGTGCTTGTAGCCAGTGAGTGCTTCACTGGTGTTTACTTTCGTGTCAAGTTCATTTTTTACAACTCCAGTCCCTAACCTTCAAAGCTGTGCTCACCCCCAGGTCACGCCAGCCCCTACAGGCTCTCACGCTGACCCAGGCCGAGAACTGAGTAGAGAGAGCCTGGGTGTGTGAGAGAGATGGCCCAGCACCAGAATCAGGCCCCTGGACTCTGGATGGAGGGGGAGACAGGGCTTTGGGCTGAGCAGAAGCAGGACACAGGGCAGGGGAGGAAAGGACTTCACTTTGCAGGCGAAAGCGCTTCTGTCAGGGGGAGCAACACAGATCATGTATGTTTTCACCCTGCAGTCCTCGTAGGAGATGAGGGTGACATCTGGGCACATGCGCTGTGGTGGATTTATCACTGTTGGGGGAGTTAGGGGTGGTCAGAGGCTTGGGCTGCTGGACCGCGGAGTGCTGATAAAAGAATGGAGGTCCTGGGTCTTGAACAAGGAGAAGCTGGTGACTCACTGCGATGGTCATGAAAACTATTAAACTCCTGGGTTTGAGGGAGGAGGGCCTGGGGGCCAAGACTTGTGGGTCTGAGAGTGAAAAATGCCCAAGACCATGGCTCTTGTATCTGTAAAAGGAAGTGGCTAGGAGCCAGAATTTTTTGGTGAGAGGATGGAGAGTCCTGGGAGCCCAGATACTTGGGTCTGAGGAAGGAAGTACCTGGGGACAAGTACTCTTGTGTCTGATGGAGGTGGAGCTAGATCCTGGATACTTAAATATTCAGAGATGCATCTGGGCCACAAAAATTCTTGGTCTGCTTTAAGAGGTGCTGGGGTTCTAGACTCTTGGGTCCGCAAGATGGAGGTTTGGGGTCCAAGGATTATGGGTTAGGGGAAGGAGGGTCTTCAGCAGGGTCCTAAATCTGATGGTAAAGGGGCTGGTGACCTGGACTCCTGGGTGTGAGGAGGGGGCGTTTGGAAGTCTGGGATCTTGGGTCTGTGCCTGTTTCCTGGATCTGAGGAAAACGGGAGCTGGGATCTGGGTTTCTGGGTGACAGAGGCAGCCTCCCCGACATTCGTGATGATGCTGTACATCATCCAGAGAGAGTACAGCTTGTCCCAGGTTGTTTGCAACTGGGCAGCACATCAACTGTCTTCACGTGGGCTGCTCAGCTTCACAAGCACAGTGTCATGGTTGATTTTGGCTGCATCAAACTGGAGGTGGATGAATGAATCGGTAGCCCCGATCTTCTGGGCACGCCCATCAGCCAGAAGATCACTGCCCATTTGCACAATGTAGTCACTGCAAAAAAAAAAAAGCAACATTTCTGCCCTGGCCAGTTTGGCTCAGCGGTTAGAGCGTTGGCCTGCGGTCCGGAGAGACCCGGGTTCGGTTCCCGCTAAGGGCACGTACTTCGGTTGCAATTTGTCCCCGGCCCTGGTTGGTCGTGCAGGTGGCAGCCACTCGATGTGTCCCTTTCACGTCGATGTTTCTCACTCTCTCTCCCTTCCTCTCTCTCCCTCCCACTCTATCTGTACAAAAAATGGAAAAATATCCTTGGGTGAGGATTTTTAAAAAAGCAACATTTAGAGAGACATTATGACTGAGACAAGGGGATAGAGACCCAGAGACAGGGGTCAGAGAACCAGAGAGAGGTAGACAGAGACCTAGAGTGTGGAGGAGAGAGACACCCACAGAAAGAAAAACAAAGACCCAGAGAGAAGCAGGGACAGACACCAGGAGTGAGAAATGGCATCACTGTGGCTCCTTGGCCACCTACCTCATGTAGGAGTAGGCGATGGTGGTCACCCACTGCTCATTGACCGGCACACCTGCACACTGGAACACACTGTTCTTAAACAGGGCCACCTGCCAGGGATGGCAGCCTCTTGGACACGGAACTCCATTCATAATCATTACTTCAGCACCCTGGACTGGAGGGAGAAATGGAGGAAACAGGGGTGGCAGCCATCAGGGGAAGAGTGAAGCCACAGTGGATAGATTCCCAGAGACAGTGACGGAGAGAGAGAGACGGACAGAGGGGCATGGAGAAGGGCAGAGGCAGAAACCGAGCGCAGTGCAGAGAAAGCTGCAGACAGAGATGGAGAGAGACGGAGGGGGCGAGCTCAGAAACCCAGCCCAGCCTCTAGTCTGGAGGCAACCCCAGAAGCTAATGGGAGACACACCGAGGGCCGGAAGCAGCCTGGAGGGCACACAGACCCCTGGATTCAGAAGGAAGCAGAAAGAAAGGAGCCACAGCAGAGGAGTCTTGTCTCCATGGGAGGAAGCTGTTGCCAGAGGAGAGGTCCCGACTCAGGCACTTTTTAGAGACAGGGGGCCCTGGAGAGGGAAGGTTGGGGACAATGTGAGGTCCAGGAGCAAGGTCAGGCCTCTCAGGCTGGTCCTCACTTTCTTGTCCAGCAGATCCCAGGGCTAAGGCCAGCAGTAGGGTCAGCAGGGGCAGGAACAGGGGACCTGCCATGTGGCCTCTCGGAGGTTCTTTGTGCTGCTACAGGGAGGAAGGGCCTCTTCTGCTGGGGAAGACAGAGTTCAGGAAACAGGAAACTTCTCCTCTCTCAGATTCTGGAGACCAGTTACCCGTCCTTCCTCAGCCTCAGGGGTCCAGGCTCAGGTTTCAGGTTCCACTCTGAACCCAGGAATCTGGCTTCCTATTTTCTCCCATCCCTAATTCTGTGTCACAATTAGGTAAAAGACAAAAAAAATCTAGACCTTGAGCCCCTCCTTTTTTGAAACAAAGTTCAGGCCCCCTAAGCTCCTCCCCTGAGGGGCAAGAGTCACCTGCCCATCCAGATGCACCTACCTCACCACAAGCAAGAAAGACTTCCTCTCACCTGCGGTCAGTGTGGTCTGGGCTGCAGAGTAGGCTGTAAATCAGCTGTGCCCAGCTCTGTGCAGAGTGGCCCTCTTATAGCACACCTGCCCTGCTCCAAACCCCGGAGACCTGGAGTTCAGGTGCAGTTAGCTCTGGGACACTCCTACCTGAACTTGATCTGTTTTTTCTTTTGTTTTTGTTTGTTTGTTTATTAATCCTCACCCCGGGATATTTTTTTCTCATTAATTTTTTAGAGAGAGTGGAAGGGAGGAAAAGATGGGGAGGGAGGGAGACAGGGAGACACATCCATGTGAGAGGGACACATTGATTGGTTGCCTCCTCCATGCATTGGGATCGAGGCCGGGGGATTGAACCTGCAACCCAACTACATGCCCTCGACCAGAAATCAAGCCCATGATTCTTCTGTGCATGGGCTGATGCTCTAACCACTGAGCATGCGGGCCAGGGCTGCACTTGGTCTTATCTGGTACCCCTGAGGCAACTAAAGCCAAAGTCTGCACTCTACCTCCACCCTCACTCCTGAGGATGGTGGGTCGGCACCCAGGGGTTTGGCCCGAGCACAGTCTGGTGCCACCAGGAATGGGACCAAGGAAGGGACCGGGTGCTGGTGCTGAGTGACAGGAGCAGGCTTCAAGGAACAGGACATCTCAGGGAATGAATTTTGTCCTGGGTCCTCTGTGACCATTTTTATTGTGCTCATCCTCTCTCAGGGGTGACCTAGATCCCACACCCCAACTTTGAGCAGCCTGTGGGAACTTGTCCAGGCTGAATCCCAGAAATGTCTTTGAGCTTGAACCCAAACTCCACTTTAACATGGATGTATGAATGAATAAAAGTATGCTTTCCTAACTCCATCCACTAAACGTTCACTATTATTGCTTAGTCTGTATACATAGATTTCTATACATACTAGGTAGTTGTACCAAAATGTCTGTACCGCGCTGGCTGGTGTGGCTTTGTTGGTTGAGCATCGTCCCGTGCACCAAAACGTCACCAGTTTGATTCCAGGAAAGGGCACATACCCAGGTTTCGGGTTTGATCCCCAGTCAGAGTGTGTGTTTGAGGCAACTGATGGATGTTTCTGTCTCACATCTGTATTTCTATCTCTCTCTCTCTCTCCAAAAAAAAAATCAATAGAAACATATTTTTAAAACCCTGAACAATTTTTTCTCTTAGTACATTTATGTTATTTCTCCTTTATTAATAATGTTGCATAATATTCCACACTATAGTATTCTTCTGATTTATGTGATTAGTTTCACATTGAAGTACATTTGAATAGTTTTCATTACAATAAAAATTTCTCTGTATAATCATCTTTGCTCCTTGTATTCATTCAATAAGTATCCACTGAGCATTTACTCTGAGGGAGAAACTATTATGGCTTCAGAAAACACAGCATCAACAAAAAAGCAAAACATTTTTTCACTCACATTCCAGTGGGTGGAGACCTTCAGTGGAAAAATAAGGACTTAAATAGTTTGTTAGGTGGCACTAGGTGCTATGAAGGAAAACAAGACCATATCTCAGAGGGGAAGGGGAAAAACGGGAAAAGATTAACCAAAAAACTTAGATACATACATGCATAGCCAATGGACACAGACAACAGTGTGTGAAGGCCTGGAGTGGGGCAGGGGCTGGGAGGAGAGGGCTCCGTGGGGTAGAATTTACATATTATATTTATTTTTATTTTATTTTTTGGTACGTGCCCCTAGTGGGAACCGAACCCAGGACTCTTTGGTCCACAGGCCAAAGTTCCAACCACTGAGCCAAACTGGCCAGGGCTATGTATTCTTTTTAAATTAATAAAGAACATTTCTAAATTCCAAAGGATGGATCTTAGGTTTCTAATTTCTAATATAAGCAGACAAAACTCACTGAATTACATATTTAACTACTGCATTATAAAGCTCTCAAAGTTAAAATGCTCTTTTCATTGACACATGGACAATTATATAAAAATAAAGTAGCATTCATGCAAAAACTGAAGGAAGAAAGGAAGGAAGGAAGGAAGGAAGGAAGAGAGGGAGGGAGAGAGGGAGGGAGGGAGGGAGGGAGGGAGGGAGGGAGGGGGGAGGGAGGGAGGGAGGAGAAAAGAGATGAAGTGTTTGGTTTCCTCCACTCTCAGGAACCCCTGGAGTTATAGTGTTAGATAAGACCATTAGAGAGCCTCCATATGAAGAGGACATTTGAACAAAATCTTAACAAAGGTGGTGGGTGAATGCACATAGACACTGGGGATCAGTAAGTTCCAGCAGAGCTAACAGGAAGGTAAGAAGGGAAGGAAAAACCTAGAATGTTCTAGCAAAGATTACTTTTTGACTAGATCTGAATGAGCAAATGGGAGAAGTGTGGGCAATAAGGTCAGAGACACCACAGGACTCAGATGACACAACGATTGAGGACCAAGGTAGGAGTTTGGCTTTACTTTGAGCAAGATGGGAACCATTGTCAGATTATTGCTAGACAGCCAATTTCTCATAGTAAAATTGACCCCCACCTCTAAATCAGTCCCCATAATATGATTCATTTGTCATCTGAGCCCAAATCTCATCTCAATCCTGACTCCCAACAAAATTCTACCTCTGTGCCATAATTTGACCCGTAACAGATATTATTGTTGCCTACCCAAGCATTCACTGCTTCTGTCATTTGTCAGAACCTTGATTTAGTTTGAATAACCTGCTATCCTTATGTGACTACAAATAAGCTTTACTGCACCAGGCATGGGAGCCCATTTTTGCTGTCCAGAGATTGGTTTAGAAATTGACATGTGATGCAGTTCTGGCCAATCAGGAGTGAAGGGAAGACCCCTGGGTCACTTCTAGGAATTGCTTTCTTCTTACCAAAGTGAGACTGAGAAGAGTTCTCCTTTACTCTGTTAGATGGTGTCCCTTCTGGATGTAAATTCTGAAAGTGAGACAGCTCTCCTGGAGAGAAGTGGCCAGGAGACAAAGCTATAGCCCTGCAGATGAACAAACAGAGAGATGGAGATAGTCAGAGTCATTGATGAGGTCACTGAGCTGGTGAATTAACACTCCATGGAGCCCCTTCATCTCATGTCATCTTCAGGCTTCCTTCCTGGTTCAAAGTTTTTTTGTTTTGTTTCCCACAGCCAAATGTCCCTGACTGAGACCCCAGTGTTGAGTCCAGATCTCACTTCAAATCCCAAAGCCGCTCCTAAACCATTAATGTAAATCTAATTAAAACTAGAATCTCCATGTGGAATCTAGATTAACCACCAACGCCAATCCTATTTCCAGGGGTAGCTCGTTCAAATCGTGGATATGCAAATGTAAATTTACAACTTCAATGTGTGTTCTGAAGTCAAGGTACAGAGGATTGTGAAAGCCCTTCCAAGATGTTTTTAACTAGGAAATAACAAAGAACTGAGAATGAAAAGAACAGTAAGCATAAACTAGAAAAAAAAAT